ATCTGTATTCCATGACAAGAGTGTGAGACAAAGCTGAAATTATGTCCTAGCTCATCCTTATTTAGCTGTTATTTTCTGGTCACTGCAGTTGCAAGAGCATTTCTTGAGGATAACATGCAACGTGTGGGCTTAGTGCATAACTTGTTGCACAGCAGTCTGTCAAGAAACTTGACTCAAGCAAGTAGGTCAACATCCCCACTGAGAAATACTTGGGAAAAATCATGGTCCCTGCTTTTAGTCATGAGATGGTCAGAGCTTGGGAAGCAACTTAAAAAAAGTCATTCCTGTTATTCATTGCAGTATTGGAAAATTATTTGCTGTTATGGTAATTGAAACTGTATTATATCAAAAGTAATAACTTTTGAAATTATTTTTGTACTTCTCTTACTTTTTCACTACCTCCCATTACTTTTTATTAAAAAGAAACGTTAGAACTGAACCTTATTAATATATGTATTTATTTATTTAAACTATTTTAATCCATATTTCTCCTTAAAAAGGAATTACTCAAGTTTGGATTCATTCTCCTATCAGTTCATTTATTTATTTATTTATTAATATCTCACCTTTCTTCCAATAAAAGAACACAAGCAGCTTAAAACAATTAAAAGACAGTATTTAAGGTAATAACAGTGAGCATACAATACTAAAAGGAGCAATAAATGAGTACCAGAAAACATAAGTAACATCAAGACACACTTGGTGTAGTAAGGTACAAAAATCTATTTTAAAAGACCCAATCAGTCAGTCACTCAGGGAAAGCTTGCCTGAAGAGAAAGGTCTTTGCCTGCTTGCAGAGGGACAGTAAAGATGGGCCCGTCTAGCCTCCTGTGGGAGCACTTTTTCTCAGCCTTCTCTTGGCCCCACCACTATTATGGGAACATTTGCTGGGACCTAAAAGGGCATTTTCAGTGGCAGATCCCAATCTGTGGAATTCCCTACCTCCCAAGGCTAGATTGTCCCTTCCTTACCATCCTTCTGCCAGCAAAATAATACCTATATTTATTTTCTTGTTGTTTGTTCTCTAGAGTACAGTCTGGAAGTAATCTTCAACTACAGTGGGGTCTTGACTTGAGAACTTAATCCGTATTGGAAGGTGGTTCTCAAGTCAAAAAGTTCTCAGGTCAAATCTGCATTTCCCATAGGAATGCATTGAAAACCATTTGATCCGTATCTGCTCTTTTCCGTCCATAGAAACTAATGGGAAGCTGCTATTCTGCCTTCGACCACTAGAGGGGGATATTTTGTTTCTTTTTTCTTAGGTCAAGAAAGGTTCAGGAAAGGCAGGGAAAATACAGTCCAGGCAGTACCAGGCAGTCTGAAGACTGTCTCCCAATCCGCTCTCTAAACGCTGGGAGAAGTGAGGAAGCAGACAGGCACCCTTTTCACTGGCCAACAGTTAACTGAAAGTTCAAATTTTGCACTTTCCCTGCCTCCCACGTGGTTTTTTTTCAGTTCTTAACTCAAATCTAAGTATGTAAGTCAAGTCAATATTTTCCTATGAGAGTGGTTCTTAAGTCAAAATGTTCTTAACTCAAGCCGTTCTTAAGTCAAGACCCCACTGTAGAGTACAGGTTGCTGTCCTCTGAAGATGCCGGCCACAGAGACTGGCGAAACGTCAAGAACAACCTTCAGAACACGGCCAAAGAGCCCGAAAAACCCAGAACAATCTTCAACTATCTTTTTAATTTTATCCATAGAGATGCATTTATTTCTGTCTTTAAGACTTATAATATTTTTCTTCTGTTTTTGTATCCTTAATTTGTTTGCCAGCCATCTCCCTGGTTTATTTGCGTGTTCAAAGTATTTTTGTCTGGTTATCTTGATCTTAAAATCAATTTCTTGGGAAATTAATAGGATAGTTGTATATGAAAAAAAAAAACATCCCTTGAAAATAAGCCCCACTGAGTTTTCTGGAGCAAAATGTATTATATTATACATAAGATTTATATATAAATGTCTTATTTTCGGGAAAACACGGTATTTTGTGCTCTTCCTCCTTCTAGTTTTCTGCTTGTGCTTCAGCGAAGTGTGGTGTAATGTTTGTGGAGTTGTGGCCTAGGACTCAGGAGACCTGGGCTCAGCCATGGAAACTTGTAGGGTGGGAGGAGGCACTGATAAAACAACCCATTAAATATCACACACCAGTTCTGGATGAACTACAGATGTGAAATCAACTCCAGGGGCGGATTTTCTGAAAGCCCTTGTTCAGACCAACTCTCTTTTAAATAACTGATTGTTGCTTAGCAAGATATTTCACCCAAAATTACAGTGAGCTGTTTATTGTCTTCTGCATATATTAATTTTCAGTAAGCTGCATAATATACAAAGCACAAGGCATTTCAGAGATTTAGGATTCAACTACGTTGAAAAAAATGCAGAAAATACAATGCAGTATTACAGCTTTGGGACAGGCCGAATTGCATTTCCCCCCTTGACTACATGGTGCCAAGGGAAATGTGAATCAATCTGAAGGCCTCCCTCCCAATCCATAGTTCCTCCCTTCACCAGCACAGTAACTAGGCTTGTGTTGTCTGTTTTTTAAAGAACCATTTGAATCAGTTCAGGCATGTGACCGCATGAACTGAGACAGAAAAGGTAGGATGAGCTGCATGCGAACATACACATGCACACCTCCCACCTCAGCTTTTCCCTCCCTCCTGCCTGGCCCGAGAGGCGCGAGGCGCGTGAGAAAGAGAGCGAAGACGCGTCGGTCCCCGCCGGGTTGGCTGGCTGCCTGGCCGGTGGCCTCTAGAGGGCGCCCGGGCTCCGCCGGCGGTCTCCCGGAAGCAGCCGGCTCCGCGGCTTCTGCCAGGCGAGCGGCGGCAGCAGCAGCAAAGAGCGAGGAAGAGGCGACTACTATTAGGATTGGCCCGTGGCCGCTGGCGAGGAGAGAGAAGCGGCGTCGGCGTCCCTGGCCCTCTTGCCGTTCCCACCGGCGGGCTGCGGGGTGATGGTGGCCGGCGGGCCATGCTGCTGAAGCTCCTGCAGAGACAGACCTATACCTGCCTGTCGCACCGGTATGGGCCCTGCCTTTGCCTTGGGGGCCTCGTCCTCATGATCGTCTCCGCCCTGCAGTTCGGAGAGGTGAGCCGCCTTGCTTTGCATGGCCTGGCCTGGCCTGGCTCTCGGGCCGGGAGCCGGCTAGCGGTCACATGCCTGGGCGCGGGGTCAACATGCCTCTCCCCCCCCCTCCGGCTTTTGCTTCCCTCCTGCCGGCTGTCAGGGCTTCGGGATCCTTAACAGCTGCGTTATAGGCTGGGGAGGCCCGACAGCCTCCTAAACAAACCTTGAAGCTGCCTCCGTGAGGCATGAGGGCCACTTTATTCCCTGCGGGTGCTGGGCCGCTTCAGCAACCTTTTTTTGTGCCTTTTTCCCCCCTGGGTTCCTTCCATTATGCCTGTGGCCTAAATAATCACCATGATTTGCTGTCATTGCCGTTTCCCTTGTCTCCTCAGCACCCACTTCGTTACGCACCGTGGGGTGGGGTATCCACCCCTTGCCTCTGTGGTCCTTCCCTTTCACAATTAGCCACCTTTTCTCTTTCCGTGTTTCCTTTCCCCAGGGCCTTCGTCTACACTTGCCTTCCTTCCATTTCAGAAAAGCAGTTTTTCTTGCCTTCATGAGGGCTGTATTTGTTTTTCTTGGCCGCTAAAAAAGGACACCCAGTGTGCTTAGGGGTCCCCAACCTTGGGCCTCCAGATGTTCTTGGACTACAACTCCCAGAAGCCTTCATCACCACCTCTGCTGGCCAGGATTTCTGGGGGTTGAAGTCCATGAACATCTGGAGGCCCAAGGTTGGGGACTATCTTCATATTCCTTGTTTTGGCATTAAAACAGGGTGATTTGTGAGTTATTTCATAATTTGTATGTTACAGAACCGTTTGGTTTAGTAGCACAGCAGACTGTATTTATAAAAGGGAAAAGCAAGAGAAAACAGATTTGGGATGCTGACAACGTTGTGTCCTTTAGGTCTTATGAAGGCTGAGCAAAAAAAGATGGCAGTTTATTATTTTGGCGAGGGAGATCCCTATGGGTTGCTGCTAATTTCCCTCAAAAATTTATGACCTTTACCAGTCCAACAAGCTTATTTTCAGCTAGGTACGCACTGGGTTGATGCTTTGAAACAGATGGATTGTACACCTTTTCTATAAATTTCATCTTCACAGATACTTGCCATAATGTATACTTCTTATCCGAGTTCCTGCTGTGGTGTTAAAACTGACCTGCCTTTAAAGGCTGTTGTAAGAAATATACATAGTTGCTGTTGTGTATGTGTGTGTAGCCATGTCCTGCCAAAAGTGTTGCAATAAAGTTTGAACCATTGCTAGGCTGTATGGCCGGTGGTTTTGAGTATGGTGGCTAGGAGTGATGGGAATTGACTGCCCAACAGATTTGATGATGTCCAGGTTTTGGAAGCCTGTTCTTAAATGTTACAGAAATGTTGAGTAGTGTTTTCATTGCTGCATGATGCTGCCACCAAGGGGTTTTGATCCAGGCACAGAGTCTACCCTTGCTGTACAAAACCCTCCTGATAATAACTTGGTAACTGTTTACTAAGATTGTGACTGTTAGATCAGGTCAGAATCATGTGAGCTACTTATTCAGATGTGTGACAGCTTTGATCTGTTGGCCACTCTATTGATACCCCGTTTTCCCAAAAATAAAACATACCCTGAAATTAAGCCCTAATACGTTTTTTTGGAGCAAAAAATAATATAAGACCCTGTCTTATTTTCGGGGAAAAATGGTAGAAACCATTGGGGTTTCCTTCCTGTCTCTCCGTATCATTTTTTGCCTTATTGTGTGTTCCTCTTACTATATTCAGTATGGATCAGCATCCTTTCTCTGTTTCTGAATCCAGTAATACGCTTTCAAATTGTAGTGACTGATAAATTCTCATGAATTGCAAAGTGGATTGAAATTCTGGAACCGTGGTGTCTGAAATAACTTGCTGTTCTGGAGTACTATGAGATAAGATATTTTTACATCACAGTGGCAGATATGTGGTTTGGTTTTTAATTAAATAATTTGTTATCCTTCAGAGTGATATCTTTGTACATTTCTGCCAGGAAAAAAGAGAACTGAGTAGAGAAATTTAGAATAGTTTTGTAAACTTTGGACAAATTTGGCACAGCAAGTATGCACCTGATAGGGAACTTGTAACAATTTGCTACTATAATGTACAGTATATGATTTGCTTTATCTTGGTGGGCATAACTAATTTGATTTTGGCCATTAAAGCAATGACATTCTTTCAAAATGAATTCAGAACCAGGCGTCCTAACATTAACAATCAGGGAGACGACAAGGAAAATGTTTGGGACTCCATTTTCCTGTTTTGCTTTGTGGCTTGGAATCACAAGGGTTAACACGGGCTGATATAAAAATGTCTAAGCATTTGAAATTTAGATTTGTTTCAGAAGGCTCTCAATGGTTGACCAACAAAAGGTTAAAGCAGATGAATAAACAGGACATTTTAAAAATCTGCATTAAATGTGTAGAGTTAGAATGATAGACTCGCTGAATAACGAGCAAAACTACAGGTCATTACAGCCGATAATTTAGGATAAAATAAAAGGGAAAAGAAGTATAGGAAAGAGAAGAACATGTGAACTAAAGAACCTAGGGGAGTGGCTTGGATGGAATACAACATCACTGTTTGGAGCAATGGTTCCAAACCTTGAGTCCTCAAATGTTCTCGGACTGCAACTCCCAGAAGCCTTCACCACTATTAGCTCTGCTGAGCAAGATTTCTGGGAGTTGTAGTCCAAAAACTTCTGGGTTACTGAAGGCTGGAAACCACTGGTTTAGAGCTTTTGACATCTAAAGTCAGAATAGCAATGACATTGCCCAACCTCTACTAGAAGGTGAGTAAGAAGAGGAGGAAACTAAACTATAAACAAAACTGAGCTAAATTAAAATTAATGCTAGGGCAAACAAAGGCAAAAGTCTGTAGCTGACAGAAGAAACACCAGCACTGGAAACTGTTTTCAGTGAGAAGATGATTCCATAAGGTTGGTGTTACAGCAGAGAAGGTCATCCAGTGCAACACAACCAAAGAAAACTCACTTGGCTGCCACAGTAGTAAGGAGAGCCACTCAGAGCATATACTATAAACTGGGGTATTCTTTGATGTCAACCCTGTTCCCCCGCTTTTTAGAATACACTCTTAAATATTCCTCTTCCATAGGTTGTTCTAGAGTGGAGCCGGGATCAGTACCATGTTTTGTTTGATTCTTACAGAGACAACGTTGCTGGGAAATCTTTTCAGAACAGGTATGTCATGGAATGTAGAACAACTGTGTTGTTTTAAAAAAATAGGTTTCGGCAAGTGTGGTTTAAAACTGTTTGTGCAACGAACACTTTTCCTGCCTTCAGATATGTCACTTGCTTGAGCCAAATTGGCTGAAACCATGTGGAATATGAGTAAATCTTCCTGGCTACTTTGCCTGTATGGTAACACCATATTTCCTTTTGTCTGACGTTCTCCTGATCCTTGTGAGGTGAATTTCTGCTGCTGTGGGAACCATCCTGAAGGAACACTGTGGCTGCATTTTCCCTTGAGCCGTTCATCAGGGAAAGAGTGAAAACCCTTTTCCATAACTTTGTCTACAAGATTGACAACTTGGTTAATATATTCTATGGAACTCCTTATGAATGTAGCTGACTGGATAGCTTTGTGAGTGGGAGCATCTGTCTGACCAGTCAGTAGATTGGAGTTTTGATTTCCCCAATATGTGTTGTATGAGAAAAGCCCATCTGTTTGGCCTCAGGCAAGCTGCAGGGTCTCAGAGCACCTCCAAAATAAGGGAATATTGAATCCCTTCTGAGTATATGTAGAAAACACTAGAAAGGGTCACTTGTGGCCTAGTGATTAAACAGTGTGTGTGGGTGTGGGTGTGGGTGTGTGGGTGGGTGGGTGCGCGCGCGCGCCCGCACACACACACACACACACACACATACACACACACACACACACACACACACACACACACAGAGTGGTGCCTCGCTTAACGGGCGCGCCGTTTAACAACGAAACCACATAGTGATTAAGTTTTTGCGATCGCATTGCGATGTTCCCTATGGGAAAAAATTGCTTTGCGATG